TATGGGAGGAGCTAATATAACAGCATATACTATAACATATACATATTAAAATGTAATTGTGTGAAGCGCGCCGGGCTGTCCTACGCGCGTAAGACAGCCTGATGCACGCTTATTCGCGGATTTTTGTTACTTAAAATCTTGGTAACTATTGCAAATCTAGCAAAATGGTATAGAACTTTTCACCTCAGTTTTATTCCTTTTACCTGTGTATGAGAGATGTTAAACCAATTCTGGGACACTCTGTATATATTCTGCGATACGCGAGATTATCATTACATATATTACCTTACTGAATTGTTATTTAAAAGATTATACAATTGCAATGAACGAATAGATGCCTTTAAAATTATGATAAATATTGACAATAACGGACCACCCTCCGATTAACTTGAGCTTCACATATGTTGTCAAGGACAGTGTTCTGAGTGACATGCAAAAGGTTTTAGCCGTCGCTCGTTGTTTATTCAAAAGTTAATAACAAAAAAAATTTTATAAATAAACTCTTATTTTTTTAAGTACTAGATTGAGGCCAACCTCTTATTTTTTTATTTCATGTACATTTTCTTCGTGTTGTAAGTGTGTAGGCAAGGGAGCTAAGCTCCGTATTTTGCGTGTATATTACTTTGTGTTTATATTGGACTATTTTTTCTACCTTTCACTATTCTACTATAGTAAATTATAGTAAATTATGTCTAAAACATACAGGTTTTGAACAACAATGCTTCATTAATGAAACTTTTTTTGGTAATTTCGACATGAAGCGAATGTAATCGGAAGTCGTATTCGTTAATTGAGTTCTTCATTTTTTCTTGACGAAGGGTGCTGGTGCGAGGAGCGAAGCCTCTCTCCTTGCGGGGGACCGTAGCCTCCCTTGCCTGCACACTTACAACACAAAGAAAATGTACATGGAATCAAAAAATAAGAGTTGATTTATAAGTTTCTTTCTTCATAATTTTTTAAAAAACAACGACCGCCGAATAAAACCTTCGGAACCTTATTCGGGGCCTCTATCGTCGGTATTTAGTATATTTACCCTCTTAACTATTATCCATCGATAATTCATAACTTCTACTTTAATTCAGTTTACTTTAATTCGATTTACAAACACATACAAACACATATTAAAAAATATGAATGTTCAAGCATTGCACAAACTGTGTTTATTTTTTGAGTTAGTTCAAAAGAAGCGACTCGCTTTGTTGGATCTTCTAATAGCGGCATTTCAAGAAAATCAAATAACCGATTTGGACATCAGAGAAGAAGTCGATACTTTTATGTTCGAGGCATGTTTATGTCTTATGCATATATATTCTTTGAAGACGTACCAAAAGATGTACCAAGAGATACATAAATAAATTAACGAGACTTGTATAATTATAGGGTCATGATACTACGGCAATGGGTATATGCTTTAGTTTGTTATTATTAGCTGAGCACAAGGATATTCAGGTATTTCGTGATACATGAATAAAACTAAAAAAAATATAATAAGAACTAAATAAGTTTGTTTTTGTTTAGTTCAGAGTTGTATACAACTATTTTGTTGTAATATATTTTTCTCTATATTTAATTTTAACAACAGTACAGAATATATTTTTTAATATATAGGATCGTGTCAGAACTGAAGTAAATGGTATGATGGAAGAGAATGAAGGAAAATTGACAATGGCGTCCTTACAAAAACTACCATATTTAGAAAGATGTTTGAAAGAAGCGATGCGATTGTATCCTAGTGTGCATTTAATATCGCGCATTCTTTCAGAAGATATAAAATGCCGTATGTATTAGATAATGCAATACCAATTTTTAATGTCATTATTTAGAATATGTTACGTTACACGTCACTGAAATAAAAACAAAAGTTACACAGGGTTCTCAAAACGTCCGGAAACGCTAGAATCTCGAAAACGATTATTTCTAAGAAAAAATATGTAAGAAGCAAAGTTGGTGGACTTAAAAAAATGTACCTACTAGTGATAAAAAGTTGATCTTGAGTGGAGTCTGCAAGGTTATATGAAGATCAAGTTAAATTGTTTAAATAAGACTTCTTTTGTTTATTGCATGTTTCTTATAATTTATTTCAAGAGCTTTCCAAACCACTATAATAAAGTTTATTTTTATTAAGTACTTTTTGAGTTATGTGAATATTAGAGTATCGCCGGCATTAGCATTATCTATTAACGTTATCATTCATTTCGAATGATGCTTCATCCAAAAAATCTGTGTTGAATAGAAAGTTAGGTTCTTTGTAAATTTTCTGCATCATGAGCTCACAAAATTCGTTTCGACCGAAATCTTTGTTTAGTTCTTGTATAAAAACTAAAGATGAATTTTGTTTAGATAATTTTAATTTAAACCGATCTTGACTTAGTTGGCTGGGTTACACACACAAAAGGTGTAAATCCGATTTCTATGTAATACACCTTGGATAATGCTAATACCTGTACTCTAATATGCAACTTTCATAACTCAAAAAGTACTTAATGAAAATAAACTACATTAAGTGTTTTGGAAAGCTCTTGAAGCTATAAAAATCTGCAATAAAAAATAGGAAGTTTCGTTAAAAAAAATCGATGTCACTTTGATTAGCGGCGCCATTCAACGTCACACTGATACAATCAGTAAATAGACTCTTTTAAATCTTAAAACTTTTGCCTGAAACACTTTTCTGTAAAACTTATATTTTCTGAGATATTTAGGGGTCCCGACTTTTTTGGAAAACCCTGCATATATATACATATATATATACAGTGTATATATGTATACACATATATACATGTATATGTATATGTATGTATGTATGTATACAGATATTATTTTTTGTTCTCTAACAGAGTCGTATACAGTGCCGGCTAACACAATCGTGCACCTTAATATCTATGGCGTTCACAGAGATCCCAACTTCTGGCCGCACCCAGACGTATTCGATCCAGATCGATTTCTGCCCGATCAAGTGCAAAATCGTCATCCTTATTGCTACTTACCGTTTAGTGCGGGATCACGGAATTGCATAGGTACATTGCACACTTTGTCTTTTTTTCTGATGAGAAAACAGCTTTTCTGATTTATTGCGTGTATGCGGCAGGTCAACGGTTTGCTATGTACGAAATGAAGGCTATGATCGCTTCTCTAGTGCACCACTTCTACTTGGAGCCTGTTGATTACTTGAAGGATCTTCGGATTAAGTGTGATTTGATACTTCATCCTGCTCATCCGATTCGTATAAAATTCGTTCCAATCAAGTAAATAATATCAACAAAATTAGGGAAAGGGGAAAACAATTTCGTTACGTGGTTATTAAATAATTATTGAAACAATCTCATATACATATATGTGCATGTAAGTAATATATTCTTTGTGAAACAGACACCTCTCTCTGCTCAAAATTCCTTTGAACCAAACAATTTTTCATGAAAGTGACATTGTAGCCTAACATGTCAACTTTTATTACTCGTCAGGCATTTTTCAAAAATTCAACATGGCTGTCCAAAAATGACGGCATAACGTAAAAAAAAACTAAAAAAACTTAAGTATTTAGTAAAATACATTTCAAAAACATATTATTAAAAAGTTCCATTTGTAGAACTGTTACGTCCTGGACTCCACGGGCTCTTTCATTTTGCAACTGAATATAATTATTAGATCTAACGGTAATGTTAAGAAGTAATTCGTGTAACGAGTTCCTGGAAAGGGAAACGAGAGCCAGCCGGATAAGATGGACAAGTCC